TCAACGGCAAGGAGCTGAACAAGTCGATCAATCCCGATGAGGCTGTTGCCTATGGTGCCGCCGTCCAGGCCGCCATCTTGCACGGCGACAAGTCGCAGGAGGTGCAGGATCTCCTGCTGCTCGATGTCACCCCACTGTCTCTGGGTATCGAGACCGCTGGCGGTGTGATGAGCGTGCTGATCAAGCGCAACACCACCATCCCAACCAAGCAGACCCAGACCTTCACCACCTACTCGGACAATCAGCCCGGTGTGCTCATCCAGGTGTTCGAGGGCGAGCGTGCTATGACCAAGGACAACAATCTCTTGGGCAAGTTCGAGCTGTCGGGCATTCCCCCAGCACCTCGGGGCGTGCCCCAGATCGAGGTCACCTTCGATATCGATGCCAACGGCATCCTGAACGTCACTGCCCTGGAGCGTTCCACCAACAAGGAGAACAAGATCACCATCACCAACGACAAGGGTCGTCTCTCTAAGGAGGATATCGAGCGCATGGTCAACGAGGCCGAGAAGTACCGCAACGAGGATGAGAAACAAAAGGAGACCATCTCCGCCAAGAACGCCCTCGAGTCGTACTGCTTCAACATGAAGGCCACTCTCGACGAGGACAAGCTGAAGTCCAAGATTGCGGAATCTGACCTCACCCTCATCCTGGACAAGTGCAACGAGACCATCAAGTGGCTGGATGCCAACCAGCTGGCCGATAAGGAGGAGTACGAGCACCGTCAGAAGGAGCTCGAGGGTGTCTGCAACCCAATCATCACCAAGCTGTACCAGAGCACTGGCGGTGCTCCCGGTGGCATGCCCGGCGGTATGCCCGGTGCACCTGGTGCCGCTGGAGCTGGTGCTCCCGGTGCCGGTACCGGCGGTGCTGGCCCCACCATCGAGGAGGTCGACTAAACCATTCTCAAACAATCCAACACCAAATAACGTCGCACCCCCCACTTTCTCAACCATCCAAAACAACATCAGTTCTCACTCTTCCTCAACAAGAACAAGAACTCGGGGAAGAGTTTTATAAATCTGGATTCTAAATTAGAAATTCGATAAATATGAAACCAAACACAAACGACAACTGCTTCTTCGAGGATCATATTATAATAACACAACAAACACTTATCATAATGGAACCAAAACCAACCCACACACAGAGCTGCATAAATAATATATATTATATTATTATAAATTATCATCGATCGATCACCCAACAAAACAATAATATTTGCCTATACTTGAATTCAATAAATTAATTTGAGAATTGCAAAAACATACATCTACCATTACCGATGGTATTTATTCTTGTTGTTCCTTCAGTTTCAATGATTTTGTCGCACGGTACGTTGGATCAATATTTGTGCTGTTGCCCAGAACTATCTTATCTGGTAAATGGCGTGCATATTAAAACAGACTGGTGACAGTCAGACTGGTGGCTTAGTGGGGGGAAAGCAGTACTTAATTGTTATGTGTGGATAAAACATGTCCCCGATAAGATATGGGACATTATTTGGGCAGATAGCACATGGGCACAGCAAAGTTGTGCAACAGCAATTTTGTACTTTATACGAGGCAAACATTAGGTTCGAAAATCGTTTCAAAAACAACTTCGAAACTACTAGAGCTACTCCGACGCCAATTCCTAGAGAGTGTTCAAATCAGGGAAGAGAATGAGCCTCAAGAGTTTATCAATAAAGTGGGCTCTAAAACACGCTGCAGAAACCCCTGAAAATGTTATGCAAAAAATTCTTTAATTTAAGAAAATTTTATTCAAATTATGGTCAAGAGACCTACTCAACTAAGCACTAAAACATAATTTCTGTCTCATATAATTAAAGTCTCTACAACAGCGTGTCCTACGTAGTATGTTTGTAGCTTTATTTGGGGGAATTATTATTCCTACATTTTGATGCATTTCACTAATCAACCCAAGCAAAGTTTGGATCCTTGTCCAACTTATGGGATATAGTAGCTCCAATTACGGGCAACTCATTGTTGTTGGGACGATAGAAGCCCTCGCTGATGCCCTCCCTGGTGAGTGGTCTGCGGCTGAAGACATTGCCCGGTGGCTTGACCGGCGACTTGGGTTGGAAGGTGATGTCCGAATTAGCGGTCAGCTTATGTCGTGTTATCCGCGGGTTGCTCACCTGCTCTAGGTAGGATTGCCACTGATAGAGCTTATCATCGGCGGCACGCAGTTGGTCGATGCTGCGCTCGTGTCCCGGATTAATGCCAATTGGCTGGACCCCAGCTATGTTCTTGAGATCAACTTTAATGGGCGCCAGGGCGGAGATGGCACGCGACAGACCAATTTGACTGTGACGTATGCGATGCTCGGTGAGGTCGGCGCCCAGCAGCTCCTCATGCGGATCCATGCGTATGGGTATGATCTTGTTAATCACATAGAGGAGCAGAAATGTTGAACAAATGCCCCAGGAAGCGAGACAGAGAACCGAAAGGGTCTGAATGCCCAGCAAGTACCAGCCACCGCCCTTGAACAGACCCATGCGTCCGTTGGTCGTATCCAGCGGTATGGGATTGTCGGCAAAGAGTCCCACTGCGATGACACCCCAGATGCCACAGACGCCATGCACTGCACTCGCACCCACCGGATCGTCCACGCCCATGCGATCGAACAGGGGCATGGCCAGCACACAGAGCAACGAACCGATGGCTCCAATAATCAAGGCCTCCCACGCGCGATACAAAAAGCAGCCAGCCGTGATGGACACCAGCGAACCGAGCACTCCATTGATGAGATCCATGATGTCCATGCCACCGTCGTGCCGCCAAAAGGAGTAGCTGTGGAGAGACAAGACTTGAGTAATGGTCTTGGATTTATGTTTTGCTTACATGGAGCTGGTAAAGCCACCGCCAAAGGAGCCCATCATTGTCATAACGGCCGCTCGCGCTGCATACTGCCACTTGGCGCCACTGACACCATAAGTGCTGCCCGAATTGAAGGCCAGCCAGCCCCACCAGAGCACAAACAGACCCATGCAGGCGTTGACTGGATTGCCCAGCGGTAGGGGATCAAATCCCTCGGAATATCGGCCCAGACGCGGACCCAGCATGGCGGCCGAGGCAAACGCAGAGGCACCACCAATCAAATGGACGGGTCCGCTGCCGGCAATATCCACGGCGCCCAGTTTATTGAGAAATCCATGCTCTCCCCAAACCCAGCCAGCGGGAATGCAATAAACGGCCGTGTTGAGAAACGAGAACAGGCAGTATGCCTTAAAGTTACAACTGGAATGGAAAGTCTTTGAATATTTGATGTCTGATGCCTCGATAAAAGTTTGACTTACCGCTCTGCCATTGCGCCACTCACAATGGTCGTAGCCGTGGTGGCAAACGAGAGCTGGAACAGGAAAGCAGCAAATATTTGACCCATTAGGGCATCGCCAACGGGCGGATCCAGCAGAAAGTCTCCAATAGCTATAAACGGATTGGAGAGCGGTCCACGGCCGAAGCTCATGCCATAGCCAAAGAGCCAATAGGTAAAACCGCCGAGCACAATATCGATCACGTTCTTCATCATGATGTTGACTTCGTTCTTGATGGACACACAGCCAGACTCCAGCATGCCAAATCCCGTTTGCATTGTGAATATGATAAAGGACGATGTCAGCACCCAGTTGGTGTCCTCCGTGGAGAGATCATAAAGTCCGGGTATCACATAGTTGCTATGATTACGCCCGATCCCCTTCAAAGCTGACGCCGTGGCGTTGTCCATTTTTGAAGCCGTACAGGACGTCCGACAGCCTCGCGTGATGGTCAAAGAGTGCGAGACACAGTGGGCCACATGGAATTCATGACATCAAAACATTAAATTCGAGTTGGCCAAATTTTCCCAGTGAATAAATGAAAGTTGCAAATTACCTGCATTTCATTTAAATTGCAATTTAATCGCCGCCTTTCAGCAATTCGTCAATTATTTCGTGTGCGTGTTGTTTACGGCGGCTAAACTCTTGTTGCTGACTTTTTTTCGCAGAGCCCCTTGAGCTTGACATTGTACGCTTTTTGGGGAGTTGCATGACTGAAACATTTGTACAAAATTAATGAGGACAGTTTGCATTTAATTGAATTAAACTACCAGCGGAATTCATGAGTGAAGTGGTAGAGGAGAGGATTATTTCAATAAGAAAATTCTTCTTAATTTTTTTAAATTTTAAATTTGTCTTTTTCTTTTGCATTTTCGATAGCGGGTTTCGACTGCTTTTACAGTAATCGATCAGATGTGCCGTTTCGAAGACATTTTCGAATTGCATCTTTCGAGCGCTACAATAAAAGGTTTACAGTAACACGGAAAATGAGTAAAACTTTTTATGCCATTTTCTATAGCCGGTTTATTTTTATTTTCTTAGCCTTTGTTCATTTTCCAACCGTTACAAATTTAAAAATATTGTTCACATTCTACAAGTAGCCCTGGAACTGGTAAATACCGATTAATTTTTGTTTGTCGATAGTTTAAGCACGCTGTTTTTGAGGGGTGCTCTTTATCACAAAATCAACTTATTAAATAATATTTAGCTCCCACTCTGTGAGGCTTTTTAAAACAAATTATGTTTCAAAACAAAGTCTATATTTCAAACATAGCTTAGGGAATTAGGATGTACCAATGCGCATATTTAATACATTTTCTGTTTATATGTAGTTCATTAGTAGTTACTGAGTAGTTAAAAAGTAAAAATATTTACATTTTTACGACTGTTTATTTTTAAACCTTATTTAATAGGCCCACGCATTTGAAAGAGCCATAAAAAACAATCGATTTTAAAGATAATCGGTTAGTTATTTGGATAAAATTATATGTTTAGTGCTGAGAGCTCTAACTAGCTTGCAATATTGAGCCGAACATCAAAATCGCGATATGTAATTTCCAATCAACATAAATAACGTTTACAAGTGGGTTAAGTGGGTTTTGCCTTGGTATATTTGGAATCTGAAAAGGTATATTTCCGCGGGTCATACGGTATAATTTATCAGTAAATCCGCGGTCACACTGGTCGGCTCGAAGTTTCGTAAAAAAACTGTTGAAAATATTGAATAAAAAGTTATCTGGCAATTAACAAGCTTTAATTGATTGTGCGGCTATAGGTGCGAATTATCCGAGTGCAATATGTATTTTTTGGCATTGCTTGCGTTCATCGGAAATGCCAAAGGTAAAAATCTAGTGGGGAAAACTGGTGTGAAAAATTTGGTACACACACATCCACATGCAGAAATCAGCCCCATATCCTGACCCAGCAGCAAATAGAATGAAAATGGCGAACATTTATAACATTTGAATAGTGCGAGATGTATAAAACTCCTTAAAAGCGAACACAAGGTTTTTCATGCAAAATCAATTTCGATTCGGTTGGCTCCTTCTACAATAATTGGAAATATGGTCCATGGCCACAGAGTTCACAATTTATGGGACACGGGGCACACACATACATATACACGTATGTATACCAATACCACGGCACATGCTGCGCTTCGGTTCGCTCTTTTTCACAGTAGAGCAGAGGCAGAGCAGCAGCAGCAGCAGAAACTCCTGTGAAAAGGGGGCATAACGGTTCTTGGGGGTGGGGAAATGGAAATGGCAATACGAAGGAAGTGGCCTGCAAAATTTTGCTTTGCTTCTATACATATCCATGTATTAATATATGTATGTATGTCCGTGTGGGTGGGTGGGTTGTTTGTGTGTATGGTGTTTATTTTTTGCATGTACACCCTGGCTCCTGTTCGTGTATGGGTGTGTACTATTGTGTTGGTGTTGGGGGCGGGCGGAGGCTGGACTGGGTGTGTATGTTGCTTGTGTATGTATTTATCAGTCACACACATGAACACAGCAAATTTCACTTGGAAACTCTCGCATAAAAGGCAACATTTTTTTCTCTTCTGTTTTTGGTGTGGGGGCGGGGGCGTAACGCACGCCTGTTTGCAATTTTCGTTCGTGCGTTTCCTGGTCAGAAATTCGCTTTCGGTATGGTCGCCTCGGGACCTGAGCTCCTTCCCCGCCGTTGTCATGCAGCACACGCATATGTGGCGGCGTTGTGTATGTACTGTATGCACACATTTGTGTGTATTTGTTTTTAATTTGAATTTCCTTTTGCTGTTTAGCATTTAAATGTAAATGATGTCGAAAATGTTCTGCGTTTGCATTTAATTTCATTCAAGTGATAAATATCATAGTATCTCTCTCTCTCCCTCCCTCACTTTCACTGTTGGTTTATGCAGCTGTGCAGATTCTTCTCCCTCCCTGTCGCTCATGCAGCACCTGCTGCACTTTGTCTATGCATTTGTATTTGTGTGTGTTTGTGTGGTTGTGTACGTTTTTTGGTGGCACAATGTTAAATCAGCGAAAAGTTGGTCAAGTGTGTCAAAATAAAGAATTCAGGCCCCAGCATCATCGAGTGTGCGATTATATACAGGTGTGTGTGTGGCCAAACGAGTACACACGTACTTGGGTTTGTGGTAACTGTAAATTACAAGCGACATGCTCGAGCTTCTGGAATAATCAGGGTTTCTCTGGTTAACTTGTAACGGTTCTTCAGAGGAGGTTCTGGGAGAATTTTCTGGAAATGAAATAATACATGAAATGCCAAAAGATCAGAGTTCTCAACATCTGCAAAGTCCCCCATAAATATGCTTTAAAATATGTATACAAAAAACTTCACACGAAAACAAAAACTCAAGTTATCGTTTCCACAGATGGTAACGCGGTGAGCTCTAGTCTCATACCCGGCGGACACTGCCGTGACTACAATGGCAAGCTATACGAGACGGGCATGCACTATATGCCCGGGCCGGACTCCTGCCGGCTGTGCATCTGCGACAGCGGGCTGCCCAAGGCCTGCAAGATGGTGCTGTGCGAGGCGTTCAGCAAGTGCAAGTCCTTCCAGACGGTGGGCAGCGGCAACAACTGCTGCGAGGTGATCTGCCTGGATGATCAGTTCAGCGATGGAAGCACAGACTTTGGCATTTGACTGGTGGCCAGTGGCATCACGGCCACGCTCTCTCTGTCCTTGCTCTTCTTCCTGGTCAATCGGCTGAGACAGCGTAAGATGAGGGCACGAGAGAATCGCCAGAATGCTGAGGATCAGCGCAGCATTGTGGGTAGCATTGGGTGAGTCGTTAAACAGTCCCCAGATAGTCCCCACTAGACAGTTAAAGCATTCCTCTGTTGTTCCTTTTAGATACATTGCTGGCAATATGGGCTACATGGAGGGGAATCTGAGTGCCATCGATTACTCGTACGGGGGAGCAGCCACCCACTATCCGCTGTGGAAGCCGCACTTTCCGCGCGGCGAGGCACCGCCTCCATATGAGGAGGCAGTGGCCATCTCCCAGGCAGAGGCGCTGAGTGCCCAGTGCGTGGTCAGTCTTCCCGCGAGCTCTCAGCGTGCCGTCGCGAGCGTCAGCCAGCAGCAGCAGCTACAGCAACAACAACAGCAAGCGCTTCAAGCCCACCAGGCACATCTCCAGCAACATACGCTCCAGCTGCATACTCAGCCGCAGCAGCATCATGCCCCGCAGTATACCCAACAGTTGGTGACACACCCGCAGCATGCCCATCAGATGGCTGCCGCCGCCGCTGCAGCAGCAGCAGCAGCTAATGGTGGCTCAGTTCTGCCGCAGTCGAACCAGTACACGCAGAGCACCACGAATCTGATCAACATCAATATCAATAGTGGGGGCGTGACCACCATAGCCACTGGCGAGAATCACCAGCCGCCGTATAGCCTTCAGAGCGAGCAGCAGCACAGTCTCGAACAACAGCAGCAACAGCAGCACCACCAGCAGCAGTTACAGCTGCAGCATCAGCAACAGCAGCAGCAATTGCAACTGCAACAGCAGCACCAACAGCAGCAGCAACAACAACAATTGGCTCAAGCTCAGGCTCAGGTCAGCAATGGTTCCATTTGCCTACAGACAATGCCCAAGCAAAGTGGTGGCGGCACAAGCGAGTGCAGCTACAAAAACTGTCACTTGAACATCAGCGCCAGCGTGACTACAGCTGCTGCCACCAGTAGCTCTGCTTCCTACAGTGCGTCACGCAGGACAACGCCACGCGGCTCCCAGGAGCTGCTCCATCAGTTGCCCCAACAGCAGCAGCAGCAGCAAACGCAACAGCAGCAGTATCTCACGGTGGCCGATGTAGAGATCAATGCCAGTGCCAGTGCAGCCAGCTATCATTCCCTGCCCGCCAGCAGCGAACTCATGGCCACGCCCACGCATGCCCAAGTGCTGCAGCATCAGCAACAACAGCAACAACAGCAGCAACAGCAGCAGCACCATCAACAGATGCTGGCAGCTGCCATGTCCGCGCCGTCAATGGAGATATTGCAGCCTTTAGAAATAGCAACCATTTCATCGGCGCCTGCCTGCAGCACATCGGATCAGGCCACACAGCTGCCGTTGCATGCGACGCTTAAGGCACAGCAGCAGCAACAACAACAGCAGCAACAGCTCAGTCTGGTGTCCGCATCGAGCAATAAGACTCCTTCGAGCTCTCGTCGCTATCATCGCACTATTCCGCGATACTTTGCCGTGGCCGATCCTCTGCAGGTGAATGTCAGCAGCAGCAGCAAGGCCAAGAGCAGCAGCAGCAGTAACAGCAGTGAGGTGGCAGCCACCAAGGCCAGCAAGAAGCCGATGTGCCAGTGCCCCATCCAGCATGTGCCCATGTCCTATATGGGCAGCACGGCCAATGCCAATGCTTTTCTGAGTGGCGCCGGCAAGCTGTTTAGCAACTCGAGCAGCAATTCCAGCCCCACATGCTCTCTGTCGCCCGGCGCTGCTGTGGGCGGTGGTGGCAGTGTCCGGCATGCTGCTACTTTGGCATACGGCCAGCGGACCAAGTCCTCGACGAATCTGCAGCAAAATGCACAGGATCTCATCACGGCTGCAGGAGGTGGCACGCTCAAGCGCGGTGGGGGGTCAGCATGCGGGCATGAGCCAAAGATAGCCACCATCTCCAAACAAGTGGGCGATGAGACGCAGACGCACCATCATCCACATGTCAGCGGCAGTTCGGGTGGGTCCAGTGGCGGTGTGAATGTCTCGGCTATAATTCCACCGCCACCGCTGCAACACGCCGAGGATGTGTCCGCACCGCCCATCGTTTTGGGGCGCGTCCAGAAGCGTTCCTCATCATCCAGCAATTCTGGGGAGCTGCGTGGGCGTAGCTCAAACGGCAGCGGCAGTGCAGCCGGACGTAGTGCATCCAGCAGCGGTGGCGGTGGCGCTGCCGATGTGCTCTCCACTGCCTACTTGAATCGAAAGGTGAGTTCGAAATGTAAGTGATCCCATCATTTTGAGAGATTAGCTTGCAGAACGGTGAATGAAATCCGAAAGAAATTAAATTGGAGAGACACTTTGATTGGCAGTTGTGATGAGATGATAGATTCCATTCCCCGATCTGAGATTTGCTTTGGCTGCCGAAAGCTAATCCTATATATACTTGCAGGTTGATGCCTACTTGAGTTTGACACAGAAACAGCAGCAACATTTCTTTAACCAACAACAACAGCAGAGGCAGCAGCAGCAGCAACATCACGATCAAAGCAATCCGACTTTACCACCGAAACTCTACAAAAGCCTAACGAATTTAAAAAGCTCAACAGTCGCCAAAACAATCACGGCGGCGGCCCCTACATCCTCCTCCTCCTCCTCGACGTGCAACAACAACAGCGTGGCCACCATTTATACGCTGAGCAAGTCAACCGCCAGCACGAGTGTGCAGCGGAAAGAGCAAACCACACCAACACTGACACTGCCGCCGGCAAGTCCCAACGCGGCGGGCACCGGGGAGAAGCTGCTGCTGGCCAGTGGCAAGATCAATTCGAGCACATTCTATCCGTTGGCCAATCATGTGACCTACACCCTGCCCAAGCACATCAGCGGCAAGGTGTCGCTAAACAGCACCATCAACAGCGTGGTCAGCAAGGTGCCATCGGTGATCAGCATACCGCCCGTGGAGAACAACAATGCCACAACAGCGACTGCCGCTACCGCTGCTGCAACCAAAAGCACAACACTGCCAAAGATATTGCGTGTAAAGCGCGACACGGGAACCGGAACGAGCACGAGTACCAGTACGAGTACGAGTCTGGCCATAGCCCATTGCCAGATGCCCAATTATCCGCTGGCGGCGCCCAAGAGCAGCTCCAGCGGCGGGCGATCGGCATCGACAACACCGAGCAAGCAATTGCCCGTTTGCACCACCTCGAAGAACTGTTTAAATCCCAAGGAGCACTTCTTGCCCAACGACACCAGCCTAGACGATGACTATCTGAGTGAGTGCGAGAACTGCAAGATTGCGCAGAGTGCCAAGTACTATCTGGATGAAACCTCCCCACAAGAGACCATGACGCTGCAGCGTAAATCGCTTGAGGAGACGAAAGAGGAGCCACACGACAGTTACTATCGGAGTTCCCATACACTGCCGAGCAATGCCAAAAAGCATGGGTGAGTGATCCAACAAGGCCATGGCAAAGAGATTTCCGTTATTTATAGTTCATGTTCGTCCCCTACAGATCTGTCAGCAAAAATAATAATCGTGAGCCATGGCAATTCTCAACGATTCCCGCTGCCAGCTCATCAGACGAGGATGTCAACGAATGAGATTTAAGCCATTTTCTTTAAGGTGCCCCTTGGGCCAGAAGAGTGTGCATCCTAAAGAAAATGTAGGCTACAAAAGAAAAAGAAAGAATACCCCAAAAAAACCAAAAGAGTAAAGCTAAGAGTTAAATGTCACCGTATTTCTTGCTGCAAAAGTTGAAAGAGAGCACTTGTATATAAGAGACAGAAATACGAAATTTAATTTAAGTCTAATGGTCAAGAAAATGTACGAATATTATTGTGCATCCACGGATTAGTTATGGCATTGAATATGTAGATTCACTGACTGTTTAGATATGCTATCCCTGGAGATTACACTAACCAATCAGCGGCATGTAAATTTGCGTGTTTGTTATGCACCACACAACACACCTCCTGTATATCTCTGTATGTATGTAATTGAACAAAAAATACTGTATATGATACCATTAGGAAGGGAAATCAATTATAATCAATGGATACACACATTATGGATTAATGGATTAGAGGAACTGTTGAATACTTGGTGTATATGCATTTGAATCATAATATTATGATGTAAGGATGAAAAGAAGATGTCAAACATAACTGCCATCTGCCAATCATTAACTGTCAATAATTATTATATATGTATTTGTATATGTAATATCTATTCTATGTAATGTATGGTAACTTTTTTATAACTATGGAATCTGACCAACATTGAAGGTATCTAACCCGCTCCCTGATTGCTGCACACCCCCCCTCAAAAGAACTGTATGATAAGCTTCAACTTAAACTTATACAAACAAAAGGAATAATGGGAATATAGGTACATATTTTGAAATCACATGCCAATAACCTAAGCCCCTAAAGTTCTTCCTCACTCGCCGCACTCCATGGTAAATATTTCTATAATTGCTCGTTTTTTTCCATAAAATAATAATTCCATAACTCCCAAATGAATGTACCATATATAAAATGAACAAAATTGAGTGTATAGGTAGTAAGTAAAACAAAAATTGTTTCCAAAAGTCGTGTTTAGACATTAGACGGTTTCTTTATCGATAACGAAGGACTTCTTGGCTAGAGAATCATTTAATTTTAACTCTTCTTTACTCATTCAAAAGGCGTCGGAGCCCTTAACGACCCAAGGCAGTCAAGTCAGTCGTCGTCTAATGGTAGCGATAAAGTCACCCAAAAATATATGATAGATAGTAGCGCCACACGTCCCCCAAGCAGCAGTGAGAGGCAGAGAAATGCTACACGGCACTGCACTAGGTTGCTCAGATAATAAAAAAAAAAATACATTGTTTGATTTAATCAAATTACAAGAAAAAAAAAACAAAAAACTAGTCGTAATCATACTCAAAAACAACAAAGAGATACTAAGCCCGGAGTTAGTTATGCCAGCAATTAGTCGAAAGCTTAAAAAATAGATGGAAAGCCAAAGATTACCAGAGAATAGAGAGAGAAAATATATGTATATTAAAATAGTTTTTGATTTTCGTTAGTTTATATGTAGTTTGTTCAGTTAATAATTTAATTATATTAAACTTTTGGACAAAAAAACACATGCCAATGTGATTTTTGTTCCAGTTTTTTGGTTGTAAATGCGATCTCGGATCCGCCGGGGACTTTTGGTCTGACAAAAACTGAATTGTGTTCAATGGATGCTCAAAACAAATATATATAAGAATGTACAATATGTTGTTTAGTTTCGGATATATACTTAACGAAAATGGTAAAAAACAAACTCTGTTATGAAATGCTCAAAGCGTGTACTGACCACAACGCAATTGTGTGTACCCTCCAATGCCACAGTGTTTGGGTGGGTCTTTAATTTAACAACAAAAGGAAATTAAAAGTATTACCAGAAATTACTCAATAGTATTACAAAATAATCAATGGAATCAAACGTTTTTTCAAAATATAACTTATTAGTGACGAGTCATTTATCAAAATTTAGTTAAAAAAGCTATTCTATGAACAACAACAAAAGAACATATGTACATCACGGCTAAGTACGAATTTTTATTCATTAAGCTATATTTACTATTGATGAAAAATCTCAAGAAACCAAAAAGATTAAACTAAAAAACGAAATTTAAAAAAATATACTTGGTAAAAAGTAGTTTACAATTACAAAATGAATAATGAAACAAAAAAATAAATTATAATTAAAACTAGTGTGTGGAGATAGTTAAAACAAATTTACCAAATTCAAAAACCAAAAAAATAAAAACGTTTCAAAATTATTCACAGAAAAATATGTTGTCGATAACGTGCGAATCATTGATTAATTTATCGATAACATTTTTCTGAACGAATAATTGCTTAACAAAAAAAAACCAAATACAAAATATTACGAGTATCAATGTGTTATTGAACAAAAAATCGTATTGTAACTATTTAAATTTAATTGAACTAAAAAAACGTGGAAAAATAAATTGGTCTATAATGATATATTTAACGAGTGTTTCGATTGAAGGAATTTCCCCGACTTGTTGGCTTCTTTCCAGCGTTTGGTGGATAATATAAACTGGAGGACAAAAACTCCCTTCACCACTCTGCTATTTCTAAAATCCAAAATCTCACTAATTTCCCATAATAAGAAGTCATTCTCATGGTTTTAATTGTAAAAAAATGCGAATACAATTTGTTGTGGTTTTCTTTTGTTTTCTCGTTTCATTTTCCTTTTTTTGTATTTAAATCATAAAAACAATTTTACGATGCATCAGATTTTGCCATTTAGTTACTTTAAATATAATATGTATATGGTATAACCTATTAGTTTTTTGTAATGCCTGATTCTTCTATGGGGTTTGCAAAACACTCGCAAGCGAAATTTGTGTGGTTTATGTACATACAACAAAATTAAATAAATTAAGTTATGTATGTATGTAGTTTGCTTTTTGTTTGATCAAAGGACACGTTGGAGTCGTCGGAAGGAAGGGGAGACCAAGGAGGAGCAGGACATAAAAGACGCTTTCGGGGGGTAATAAAGATGATGCTGCTTCTACTGCCACTGCTACGGCTTGGAGAACCAATCGGGATCGGAATCGGGCTGGGCTGTGGGGGTCCTTAATCTATTTCTATTTCGGCTGACTGTCCAGAACGGGATTAATTGTCTTCCCTCCAAAGATCTGACCCCATCCAATCAAACTGTAAGAAGAGAGCATGTCATTAGGTTGGTGGTGTTTATGATTGGCTGATGGTCGTGTACTTACCGCCAGTGGTTCTCCACACGTCTGCTGAGTGCAATCTTCTCTCCCTTCTCGGTACACACAGGGGTTGTGAGCACAATCTTAGCCAAGTCCCCCTTGGTGGCCGAGATTCGACCGCCAGTGCTGAGCGATCCGATGTTGACCAGCAGGATCTCGTTCTTCTGCAGCTTCTCGACACGTGCACCCTTCTTGTCACCGTCCGTGCGTACACCAAGCAGGCGACGCAGCAGGTAGTATGAAATTTCCAGCTCCTGATAGATGTCGGGCAGCTGTCCTACGGCACCCAGCACCTGGCCGACCAAACGATCGGCACGACAGAGCGTGGGATCGATTTTGGTGCCTACACCGATCAAACCACCGGGCACGGCATACTGCAATTCGTTCTGTTCGGCAAAGAGCGAAACGATGCGCGAGAATATGGGGCGGCAGGTGATGTTGCCATCGCTGTCCTTGGTCACCACACCGGGACGCACTTCGATCTCCTGGCCCACCTTCAGCACACCGCTCAGAATGGAACCACCGGCAACGCCACCCTTCAGGTCCTGCACCTCACAGCCCGGCTTGTTAACATCGAAGGAACGGATGACAATCAGACGTGGCGGCGCATTAAAGTCCCGCTGCGGCACAGGAATCTTGTTCACAATATATTCACAGAGCACATCAATGTTGTATTTGAGCTGGGCCGAAATGGGTATAATCGGCGCTCCTTCTGCAACGGTGCCCTGGACAAACTTGGTGATCTCCTCGTACTGCTCCTTCGCCTGGCTCTCCTTGATCAGATCGATTTTATTTTGCAATATCAAGATCTGTTTCAGTTTCATGATCTCAATGGCAGCCAAATGCTCAGAGGTTTGCGGTTGTGGGCAGGATTCATTGCCTATAAAAAGGAAAGGGCAACATAATTTTAGTTAAAGCTAGAAGATATTTATTGACTTATGGACTTACCAGCAATGAGCAGCAGTGCGGCGTCCATAACAGCGGCACCGTTCAACATGGTGGCCATAAGAATGTCGTGACCGGGGCAATCCACAAAGCTCACATGCCGAACCAGTCTGAAATTGCCAGAGCATGCGGGTCGTGTACAGGGCAAGCTGTCATCCTTGCTCGAGGCATCCGACACAAAACTGGCCGGCCGCGGGCACTTGGGATTGTCGCACTTGTAAATTTTGGCATTGGCATAACCTGGAAAACATATCGAAATAAATTGCACACAAAATCAGTTCCACAAGCAGTTCCATCTTTAGAAACCTCTCAGCGTTAGAACCCTATTACTTATGCCCCATAATCATTATAAATTAAATTATCTTTATTCATTTCATTTAATTAAAGTGGATATTTGGACAAACAATATACTCAAATCCTAAATATTATGTGGAGTATTTTCAGTGCAAATGTGAAGTCAATTAGGTATATACAAAAATGCATGATCTCTCGTTATTTAAAATCTGAAACTTAACATGGAAGAAAATAAATTCTCCAAAAGACTGGAACTTAATTCTAACGATTGGGGCTCGTAATTCTTACAATTTGTTGCATCATTTGGCAGTGCAGCAACAGAATTGGAAATTAAAACAAGACCTTCCGGCAATTGGCCGCCCCACATCGACACTGAACGCGCGCAGCCGTGGATATATTCTCATAAGGCACATCCTCATTGTCCGCTCGAATGTAGTCAAAGCTGAGCTCCTCCCCCGCCTTGATCGGACGAATGGTGAAGAAGACCAGATGGGGCAGAGCCAGGTTCAAGTGCTCGATCCAGCAAGGGAACACAGCCAGATTGGGATCGCATGAATGATTGATAAAATGTGATATGTTGCCATAGTTGGCCGCATCCACAGTATACTCGCTATCCAGCGATGTATTGTAGTCCAGATCAAACAGATAGGTACGCCCATTGTCGTCATAGGCCTTCCCACGTTCATTAGCCTCGTCGCAGGTGATAATCTCTCCGACATATTCGCAGACAAACTCTCCCTTCCTCAGAGCCTGGGGTGTGCGGACACCCCAGCCCCTTCCGTTGCTGGTTTTGAAGAGCACAAGCGGATGCTGTCGCCCTTTCTGTACGAGACGATTGGTGCAGCTTTCATCGCAGGAACATCGGCTATTGCACTCATAGATGGCACTGCCTGGCCGGAGCCGCAGACGCCCGGTGCTACGCTCGTAAGCAAAGAGTTCGCCAGCCATTCTTCCACAACACATGGAAGAGGCGGTGCAACTTTCTGCGCTCTTATGGCACTTACAGCCCACAAGTCCAGCCTGTGGCTTGGGTACCCCTGCTCCAATGATGTTCTTTTGTATGTACTTGAAACCGCTGTCAATCGTATCCAGATCCCAATTGTTTTCCACTCGTATGGGCGGTGACGGCAGCTCCACCTGATTCATACGCTGCTCAAACCTCAGCAATGCATGCAGCTGCTTGCGGCGAGCAAAGTGACACCGGCTTATCTGCATGTGGCGCAGGGCACGCTGCCCGATTCGTTCGGGTTTCCGCAGGCTCCGACTAGAAGCGGCACGGAACTGCGCAAGCAATATGATATCAATCTGCAGCGCAAGCGGATCATAGGCATCAATCTCGATAATGCTCATATTTTTTATATCTTCAGTCGGCGGTATGTTGGCGAGCTGTGTCTCCAGTTCCCCAGTGATGTGGGCTACATAAACCTGATGCAGCTGCAGCATACGCTCAACAAAATGTTCCATTTCGGCACAATCCGACAGATTTTCGTACGATTCCCATGTGTTGGCGCTCTCATCGTAGCCCTGCCATTTGACATAGAAAACGGGATGATACTGGACTACCTCCACGTGCTCGATCCTCTCCACAATGTACTCGCCCCTCGGTGGCTTCTTCATCAACTGTCCATCGTTGTTCTTGCTCCTTTTGGCCGATGGTGTGGGTGTTCGAACACCGTTGCTACGTCGTCGCTTGAGATCGTTCACTCCCAGGGGGCCAGCCGCGAACTGTGATAACTGATCGGATTCATCGCAGCTGACGATGCTGCCATAGCCGCTGCTGTGGCTGGGACTTAATGAGGTTTGGCTGGAGCTGCGACGAGTAATGCGTGTTGCTTCCGCGGGGGGCAGCGCATGGGCTGTTGACTTTGTACCCCCCTCCTTTCGCCGCTCGGCGAGAAGCCGCAGCTGCTTTTGTTGCATGATTTCGTGTTTCTGTCGCTGGTGCTTGGATTTCAAAAGTAGTGAGATTTTCTTTTCGCTTAAGCGTTCTGCAAAATTACAATTTTTTGTTTGTTTCGGACATTTTTGTTTTGATTTTTGTGGGTCGCGGCGTGTGGTTGGCGCAAACGAAAAAAGGGAAAAAGAAGAAAAGATTTGCAATTAATTAAATTGCTGGATTATCAGTCAATCAATCATAATAAACATTCAATCATTGCAAGAGACTAAAGCATACCGAAATAGAGAAAGAGAACTAGTGAGAGATTTCCAACAAGAAGATGCAACTATCTTTTAGTACAACTTTCTTTTTTACTCTTTCTATCTACAGAAAGGCGACGACACACCTTGGAAGGGGCGCACTGCCTGCTAATCCAGCAATTTAAGTATACAAATTACACAATTAAAAAAAAGGTTAATAATCATTTACAGAACGCTTTTTGATCCCATTTACACATCGTTGCAAACCAGCGACATTTCAAAACAAAACTAATTTAAGGAACAGCAATAACTCGCGGCAACAGCAGGTGCAGCTGCAGCAGTTGTCGGCCTCCTACGCGGGTGTGCCGTCGTCAGTGAACTTAAGAGAATAAAGATCCCACAGGAGATCAAAAGGGATCGCACACTCTAGAGTGTGCAAATGCTTAAGCCATTATCATTGATACATACGATTTAGTTCTAACTATGTTTAGGTTATTGATTTACAGTATGTATGTATATATATCATTATCATCACATGTGACATGTATCCCCCCACTCACCGAGCTTAATTGTAATGTTGCGTTCCAATTCGTTTTTAAATCGGACCGTCTGTACGCCGGATATGGCTTTGACTACGGTGGATTTTCCGTGCGCGACATGTCCGATTGTGCCAATGTTGATGGTCGCCTGGCGCGAGATCACCTCGGGCGACAGAGGTGTAAGGTTGCTGACTTCCTGCAAAAGGTATACACCGTAGACAAAATAATGATCAATGAATGGAGCCGCCTGGGGGATGTTCTTATCGTATTTAACCACCCCCTCGGTACTCTTAAACTTCTCGTAGTATACGCACGAGAATGTGTAATGTGCGTGAGCGTGTGTGTGTGTGTGGGAAAGCCGTACATTTTGAGGTTAGAGTGGCATTTGTATTGCATCAGATAGACTGATGGGCACAAATGAGCGTCTCTGTTTCGGCAAAAAACTAAAAGTTGATACATTTCAGCTTTATGTCTATGCCAGATGCCGAGGCAAAAAAAACCCTGAAAATCCGCACCAGCCCACTAAACTAACGCCACGTGCTGCATTTTTCGTGTGTACGCTCACCCCCGTGGATGTGAGAAACAACAAAATCTAGTCAGCCGCAGAGATACTAACTTAAGTGTTTAAAGTTAAATGCATGTGCCTGCTTTAAGAAATTCTTGTTTTTTCATACAAAGATATCTGGGCGCGTCCTGCTGCCTCCGCACCCCGCTGTTTTCAGTGGAAGCGGCACAATAATGACGACGCGTACACTTTCACACACGGGAAAAAAACAGACTACCAGAAGATTGTAATTTTCGCATGCTTACCAAATTCCTAAGGTCCTGCTTTTGCAAATTCCGATTCACATTGACTTGAGCTTCAGCCGTGGCCATGTTTTTAATGTTTTTAAAAACGATTTATGTATAAAATTATAAAATTAATCTCCAGCTCCTTCACGTCGGCATCAAATATTCTCTACGCGTGTTGTAAAGGGCGGAAAACGAGAATGTAATTTGCTGGTGTTGCAAAACGAAAGGGCTAACATTTAAACACTTTTATTCGATATGTAAAAAGATATGTTCAAACCATCGATATATCAGTATTTTCATATTCAAATTTGTGAAATAATTAAAAAAATATGGTAGGAAATAAAAAAGAAGAGCTGCTGCATTTTTAGTCCTGCGTATCTATATCCTATATCCAAGTGTCAACAAAAATCTACAAGCGATACTATCGACAGTGGTATCGATGGTTTCCCATCCACTAACATCGATACGTTTTTACAGTTCTGCAGCAAACGCAAAAAATCCGCTTCTGCTCGTCGACTGTACCGCCGTTTTGCTGAATTGTTTTACAATTTAAAATTACTTGTAATTGCACAAGTATCACCCACCCACATACCTAGACCCACACACACACTAAAAAAACAATCAGAATGTCGAGCGTGCCAAAGCGACCAAAACTGGATGGAGCCGCCGTTGACGGATCTGCCGGCACAAATGAGGAGGAGTCGGAGGCACTAGAGCTAATCGATGCCTGCCAAAACGAGATTGATGCGCTAAACGAGAAGGCCAGCGAGGAAATCCTCAAGGTGGAGCAGAAATACAATAAACTCCGCAAGCCATGCTATGAGAAGAGGAGCGAGCTCGTTAAGAGGGTGCCAAACTTCTGGGTGACATCGGTAAGTCCAGTCCTAATCCCATCACATCTTCCGGCACCCAGCCATTAGTTGCATGGTATGCGCTTCGTGCCCCAAGTGTTAAGTGGCGGCATAGCTGATGCTGCAGATTATGCTGGAAATGTAATTGATTCTTCCCCCTTTTTTGAGGGTACCATCAAAATTTGTCTCTATTCAGACATTTTTTTTTCTTCATCTTTTGATGCCGCCGCCATCGCAGCCGCCGCACCGCTCTTTTTCTGCGCGAGCGTGTGTGTGCGAGTGTGTGTATCGATAGATGTGTCTGCCTGTCGTCTGCTAGAAAAATAAGCTCACTTTAAGCATGCTGCTCGAGTTTATTCACTTGCGATAAAGCTGTTTTCCCATTAAAATGACTACTCTGCAAATTATATAAAAATTGCGGACTTTCGGTGAAATGGCGCCAGTAGGGGAGACTTGTTCGGCTATCGTTATCGATTGCATAGCACATTTACTATGTGCTGTAGAATAAGGTCCCCGGTCGGGTGCTAAAAATCAACTCAATAAACTAAACTCTCTTTCTCTATCTACCCATTTCAGTTCATCAACCACCCACAAGTATCTGGCATTCTGGACGAAGAGGAGGAGGAATGCTTGCATGCCTTAAGCAAGCTGGAGGTTGAGGAATTCGAAGATATCAAATCTGGCTATCGTATCAATTTCCATTTTGACGAGAATCCATACTTTGAGAACAAGGTGCTCACCAAAGAGTTTCATTTGAACTCAGCGGGTAAGATAGCAACTCCTTAAAACTGTTAAATATGTGTAAGCAATTTATTTTCTGTTTTCTAGCTGCTTCAGAGAACGGCTCGGACTGGCCCGCGTCAACTAGCACTCCTATTAACTGGAAGGAGGGCAAGAATCTGCTAAAACAGCTGCTGACGAAACCCTACGGCAACAAGAAAAAACGCAATTCCGAATACAAGACCTTCTTTGATTGGTTCTCGGATAATACCGATCCCGTCAACGATGAAATTGCAGAACTGATAAAGGATGATCTTTGGCCAAATCCACTGCAGTATTACCTAGTACCTGATATTGAGGTAGAGCCAGAAGACGAGGAAGATAACGACGACAACGAGGAGGAGACCTTCGACGACGAAGACGGAGAAGATGGCGAGGGTGATGATGACGATGAAGATGAAGGTACATATCATATTCATCTACATATTCACTTAAATGCAATTAATGAGTTTAAATGGTGTTCTTTCAGATGACAAGTAAACACTCCCCCCTTACAAAAAGGATAAACAAAAAGCCCAAAGTGTTGTTTTCCCCCTCCATCCACACACACACACAACCACTTTTACCATTACATATGATTCTATGTGACTTCGTAGAGCCTGCATCAGTCAACCAACCATACCAGGGTTGAAGGCTAAATCCAACCAACCATTTTTTGTACTTCAACGAAAAAATCCAACGCGTATTTTCAGTGAAGAAAAAGAAGAAAAATTAAAAGAAATTTTAAAATTACAAATAAAAACAAAAAAGACGTGGAATCTCTTAACAGAGTGGACTTGAAAGCATAGCTTTAATTTCTTTTTAAACCATTAAGGTTTATATTAAGTGAACATTAGTTGTATTTTGGTTAAGATATACTTATGGGTTGGTAAGGCCTAAACCTAACCCTTGAGGCTGGTCAACCCTTGAGGTTGGTAAGGCCTAAACCTAACCCTTGAGGCTGGTCAAGCCGGCACGCATTACCTCGTCGACGAGCAGCAAATTACTGGCTATAATTGAGCACGAGTTGAGGATCTGCTTCTTGACAATGTAGTTGTCATAGATGCCCATATCGACAGGCTTCATGGGCTCACCGGTGGCCAAATCGAGGCCAACTAGGTCCGTGGTCAAACGATCCTCGGTGACTAGCTTCAACATTGTGTCCTGGGCATCGTAGCCGCTGTTAATGGCCAGCGACTTGGGTATGACCAGCAGGGCATCAGCAAAGGCCTGCACGGCTAGGCGACCCTTGCCCTTGATGGTGTCCTTGTAGACCAAAAGTTCGTTGTAGGCGCGCACCTCAAAGGCGCCAGCGCCGGGAATCAGAGCCTTGTCGTCAATTGTATTGTTGATGGAGCGCAGACCGTCGCGAATGGCATCCTTGATCTGCAGAATGGTGTGCTTATTGGGCCCCTTAATCAGAATGGTGACCGAAAGTGGATGCTTGCAGTCCTCCACTAAGGTGTACTTGTTCTCGCCCAGCACATGCTCGTACACGACACCCGCATAGCCGAGATGCTCCTCCTGCAGATCCTCAAAGGTGTTCAGAGCGGTACCGCCGCAGGCCAGAGCCAAACGCTCCATGTTGCGGCGCTTGGCGCGACGCAGAGCCAGAATGCCCTCCTTGGCCAAGGCATCCAGCGAAAGGGGATCTATTCCCTTCTGGTTAATCAGCACGAATGACTTGTCTGTGCCATCGCACAGCGAACGCTTCAGATCGATTACCTTCTTCACACGCTGATCAATGAACTCGCGCTCAGCAAGGACAAAAGCTTCGCGCTCCTCGGCTGTTTTGTAGAAGAAGCCAGAATTGACCTCAGCCTTCTCGTACTCCAGCGAGACATTGGCAGTGAGTATGTAGACATTCTCCAAACGCTTGGGCATCTCCGGATGGCGGCCGCCATGGTCCAGGACCAGACCACGCACCAGCTGCGTATCGGTGGCCGTCTTGTGCTGCATCTCCATCAGCTCCACCATGTGCAGATCAATGGGTTTGTCGGTCCCATTCGCAATAGTCAATATGGCGTCCACACATACCTCGGTTAGCAGATCGGCCAGCACCGGATGCACCTTGGTCTTCAGACTGGTGTTGGCCACCTCCATCAGATTTTTTTTGTTGATTTCCACCGGAACTTTGCATTTCTCGAGTACCTCCAGTGCCTTATCGCGAGCCTTGCCAAAGCCATCGGCCATGATGCGAGGATGCAGTCCCTCCGACAAGTAGATGTCGGCCTGCTTGAGCAGCTCTCCAATCAGCATCACCGTGGTGGTGGTGCCATCGCCAGTGGAATCGTCCTGGGCGGTGCTGGCCCTGGCAATCATCGATGCAGTTGGATGCTGGATTTGCATCTCATGCAGCAGCACATTGCCGTCCTTGGTGATCTTGATGTCGCCGGCACCAGAGACCAACATTTTCACAGTTCCTTTCGGCCCCAAATTGGTGCGCATCACATCCTGCAGACCTTTGGCGGCGCTGATGTTAATGGCCAGTGCATGGGCGGCACGTGCAATTTCGGCCCTGGGATTTAGCAAGCTAATCGAAGCCATTTCTTACGAATGAAAACTTTTACAAAATGGAAACTGAGCTTGAAAAAAATCGTGCTTCTGTCTGACTTCACGAAAATTTGAACAGTATGACCTTACGCCCGCCGTAAGTGTTAGCAGCTATCGTTTTTATTATCGGCGCTGTGCAACTCTGGCTCGTGTATCGAAAGTCCGTATTATCAAAGTAACCCTGTTTGTCTCAGCTGCGATTTTAGCTGAAAAATTCTTTGGAATAAAACGATGGCCTCCATTAACAAATTGGCAATTTTGGTAGGTTTTGTGCATGTAATTAAATAAAAGCAGCTTTCCTCTATGCCAGCCGGGGGCAATGGAGTGGCAGAGTGTGTTAAATATGCGAGAAAAGGCCTGTCGCCGAACCAATAATTATCTAACGCGTATTTGTTGGTTATGTAATTCGCAAAAATGAACCAACTCTCGTTCGTTTTTTTACAATTCAAACAACATTAATGATGTTCACTTGAAATTTCCGCAGAGCCGTGCACTCAGCTCTGCCGCTGGTGCCACCAAGGCGGTGAAGCCTCCAGTTCAGTTGTTCGGTCTGGAGGGCCGCTATGCCACAGCCTTGTACTCGGCTGCGACCAAGTTGAGCCAGTTAGATCAGGTGGAGAAGGATCTGATTGCGCTGCAGGCGACCATCAAGACCGATAAGAAACTGCGCGAGAGCGTGACCAGCCCGATCATCAACAGGAAGGTCATGGGCGTTGCCCTGAAGGAGGCATCCGCCAAGCTTAGCTTTGCCCCGGCCACTGCCAACTTGCTGGGTCTGCTGGCCGACAATGGTCGCTTGAAGAAGCTCGATAACGTCATCACCGCCTTCAGGACCATCATGGCCGCCCACCGTGGTGAGGTTGTCTGCGAAGTGATCACTGCCAAGCCTCTGGACTCGTCCCAGAATAAGCAGTTGGAGGGTGCACTCAAGGTACGAGTCGCTTTGTGCTGTCTAGCCATGTCTCTTTATTTGATGTGTTTTTTTGCTTTTTACAGGCTTTCTTGAAGGGCAACCAGTCGCTGAAGATCACCTCCCGTGTGGATCCCAGCATTATTGGTGGCTTGATTGTTTCCATCGGCGACAAGTACGTCGACATGAGCATTGCCACCAAGGTGAAGCTCTACACAGATGTCATTCAGACCGCTGCCTAGGCCTGTAAGGATTAGCTCTTGATTAAATGCCACAAACCGAATGTTTGGAATGGAATGCTTCATTCGGTATTTGCGAATAAACCACTCTTCACCACCCAAAATCCATCAAGAAAAGGCGTTCCCCACCCACTCATTATTGAGATCTTCTGGTGGTCTGTGTGCCTTTGCTCGGTGTTTCATTTCCACTGACAGATGGCCGCCGTTGCTCATCTTCGGTGCGCTGCAACTCGTCCATCTTGGCCTGAATGGATTGCTGCAGCTCGTTTTGTTGTGCCAGCAATGAGTACAGCTCCTTGATGCGTGCCCTCTGCAGTTCAACAGCCCTTGTGCCATTCGATGTAGCCGGTGTTTCGAACCAGTTGATGCCTTCTGCCGGGGCTTGAACCTGCTGCAACTGTCCCAGAGCTTCGGCATTCCATTGACCGCAGTTGTCACCATTTTCGTTTGTCTTGCCACAGGTGCATATGTTTGGACACTTCTCACAGCCTGTGCCCTTGTCAAGGACCAGGACGTCGGCGCAGTTCTCGTCTTGTTCCCCGCCTTGGAAATTGGCATCCGAATCGTTGGTGGAAGCTCGGCACACTCTATAGTTGGGATGATCCAAGTCTGGGAAATCTGCTCTCTCATTGCCATCCGTTAGATCCGACTGCAGCAACCGAATCTCTCTGAGCGGCGATGGCTGAAAGGAGTCCGGACAGATGTATGCCTCATCACAGCTCTCTTTCGGCGCACCAGCCATGATAAGGACATTCACGGTGTTCGTTTTGCTGTTTATGCCAGGAGACGGCTGTTGCTCCTCCGCCATGCCAGTCACATTAGTGAACTTTGTAGGCGGAGTTGTACGCTGACCAGAAAGTGGCCCCTTCGTTGGATACGCAATGGCATTGGCGGAGGGTGTAGAGAATGGCATCTTGCCTGGTAAACCGCATGCGTTCATTGGCGGGGTTCCCAGTGATGACTTGGACACTGGCCAGGCATACTGAACCTCCTGATCCTTCGTTTTGCATGCCTGACAGCACAGATGTTTGGGCTTCTCGGTTTGCTGTTGTCCAGACTTCTTTGACTGTGACGCAAGTCCTTTGCTATATTTTCGCGCTTGCTGCTGCTGGCCGAGTGCATTATTTAAGGTGAGATAAATGCCTTCAGCGGTTTGATGCCGCTGTTGCTGCTGCACTGTGCATTGCTGCACCGGCTGTTGGTCCGTTTGTTGACTTTGATCTTCTCTGCTGTTGCTCTTCATCGTTAGGGCGTGGGAGCTGCATTCATGACACCTAGGCATCTGACTCAATCGATAATGGCCCCCTTGTGGACATGACGTGCAGTGGGACATGCAAGATTCAGTGCCTGCTGCCGGGCACATCGATTGATGCTGCTGCTGCTGCTGTTGCCTGCTTGGACAGTATTGAGGGCTTACTGTTTCGGTATATCCTCGCGCCTCTTGCTGTCGATTGTTGTTGATAAAATGACAAAGACCACGCCAGCAATGTTGAGTATAACTGCTGCCAGATTGTCGCCTTGTACTGGACATATTTTGATTCAGATTCATTTCCGTTGGATGGGTGGCGCTTGGCCATGTGCTTGATGGATCGCTGCCACGTTTATCAGATGACCTGACACTTGAGCGACGCCGTTGATCATCAGTGCCAGATTTCTGCCTTTGGACAGGCGGCTCTTCCTTAAATCCTTTCAAGTGAATGGCGCAAACACATGCACATTGGTGAAATGTCGCCACTTCCAGTTTGTACGAATCAAGGTGCGCCAAATTCAACCATTTTTGCGCCTCTGCCATGGTGTGTGGATAGATGAAGTGTCCAACTGGCTTCTCGCCACAGACGATACAACGACGGGCCATTTCAAATTTACAAAAAACGGGAAGAATGGGACAAGAATCGGCAAACAGTTGAATTTTGAATTTCTATGTTACATATTTGATCGATGTTATCGAGACAGTATTCTCCATGACTTTTTCGGTGCTTTTCTGTGGGATTTTAAAACGCGTTTCCCCAGCGCATCCCAGCGTTGCATTTACCGATAACTCTTCATCGGTTTTTGCAGCTGCACCGCAGCTGTGTTTCTTTCTGTTTCGTTTAAAAATAGTAAATGCAACGAACTTTTGTGTGCACAGCTGCCCCAGTTTTGATGACTAAGCCTGCCAGCTGAACAATGAGTTTAGCAACTGGAACTATGGATGTGGTTAACACACCGAACAGCAGTATGGACGCCACGAATCGCGGGGAATGGGAGAAGGTCCTGGCTATGCTGGTACTTGGCCTGGGCAGCTTCCTCTCTGGCATGCTTCCCGCCATTATATCGGAGCGCAACAGGAGGCGATTCCCACTGACTACATCGCTGCTGCTATGCTTTGGAGCGGGCATATTGCTGGCCACAGCATTGGTTCATATTCTGCCCGAGGTATGATGGTTTCTTTGGTTTTGGGTTACCTGGAATGTTATTTGATTATCCATCCACAGGTGCGCGAGCAAATGAATTCGAAATTCGCTGAGGTGGCCATGTGCAGTGGTTTCTTCATAATCTACTTCATTGACGAGTTTATACACTATTTCTTTGGCGAGGCCATTCAGCATACGCACACTCACGGCCTTGAACATGAACGTGAACCTCAACCCTCCTCGCATGCCCAAGTTGACCCAGACAGGGACCACAATGGATATGGCGCAACGGGTGAACGTGCGCCCTTGCTATCAGCACAGTCTTCTACGTCACACTCGCATTCCCATCACAGCGAAAAGTAAATCGATTACAGTTCCCTCTCTCTCTGTCAACCCTAATTGATTGCTTTTCTATATGCAGCAGCCATGATCACAATCACGGCTTTTCTTCCGCCTGTGATGATGCCAGCGTAGAGGATGCAAATGCCCGCATATGTCATACAAGTCACACGGAACCATGTGCCCAGTCCATGACCGGCACTCTGGGGCTCTTTGTTGCCTTGTCGCTGCACTCGGCCATTGAGGGACTGGCGATTGGTGTACAAAACTCAGCCACAAAGGTATGTTAATATTCTGCTCTTGACATAGTTTTCGGCACAGACAGAGGGCGCAATCTTTAGCAAATATTAGAAGCTTCGCACGATTTAATCTAGTTAGATAAGCCGGTGCCCAGTCCACCCTCTCATATTCTTTGTTTCTTCTTTGCAGGTTCTATTTCTTCTTGGCGCTGTGGCCTGCCACAAATTCGTGATGGGCTTCTGCCTGGGCCTAGAGTTTCGCTCCAATCCTCAAACCACTTTGCGCTCCCAATTCGTGGGCATTTTGGTATTTGCTTTGGGTGCCGTCTGCGGCATTGGCCTGGGCATGCTTATCGTGGACGTGCCCGCCGAATGGTCGTCGAAAACGTTGCCCATTGTTCAGGCGCTGGCCGGCGGCACACTCTTCTATGTCACCGTCTGTGAAGTGATACCACGAGAGAAGGCGCGCTGGCACTCGCACCCAACGCGACGCTGGGCGGGCTTTGCGCAATTCGCGACAGTAGTTGCTGGCTTTGCCACCATGTGCATTATAAACTTTTATCTTTCTGGTGCGTACCGCAGCGTAGGCTGTCTCTATGGGTCCACTTCTTAATCTCCAAAAACTCTATTTCAGATGAGGAATAAGTAGCTCTGTTCGAGAGGGATGACTTTTTGCGCTGTGTTCTTTTCTTTAAACGTAAGAGGTTATTTTTAATTGGCAGCTCATTGTTAAATGTTTTATATCTCTCTATGTGTATGTGTATATACCATGCACGTTGGATGAATCTTTGTTATAGAATAAAGTGAATTTGTATCTGCAAATCAAATCTAAATGAAATTTACCCATTTTCTTTTTTTCTAATTTATATTTTTCTTTTCTCCAATGTATCCGATCTGTGTGGGTTCGTGTTTTTGTTGTTGTTTTTCTGCTATAATGTTAAACCTTAAATCCTAAATTGGTAATCAAAAAATCTGTCATTATTCTTGGTTTATTTTTACTTGTTTCTTCTGTTTTCATACCTACTACTAAATCGATTGATCATCAAAAACAATTATCATTCATTGCAATAATAATCTGCAATTATAATTGTTTATGTTTTAAACCAATTAAAACAACATCTATATGTAACTATAGGTATGTATATATCTCTATACGCGTGTGTATGTATATATTTATAAAGGGTTTATCTAAAGGTGATTTATGTCGGTTTGGACTGGTAAAGAAACATGATTGAAAAGTTGCAAAATCGGGCGGGGTATCTCTGTATCTCATCTCTGATTAATGCTGATTTGTTGATAGATAGATGAGGGGTCTAAGAAGGAAGGGGGGGGGGGGGGGGGGGGGGGGGGGGGGGGGGATGGGTTGTTGGGGATTTATATTTATATTTACGTGAGACTTGCAGATTAGATCTTACACATATCTTTGTGTATAGTGTTTATGTGTATGTGTATGCGTGCGCTCTTCTCATTCTCATTTCCTTATTTAACAAATTTAATTTACAATCGAAACCGAAAATTCTTGTGGACTTCATATAGGTTTCCGACGACAGTGGATAATCGCAACTTAAAACATAAATAAATCTAGTAATTATAGTTCCGCCTTTGCCGCAGCAGTAACCCCATTCTCATCCTCATCTTCATCATCATCGGCCCATTCGCTAATGAGACTCTTTACCTTATCCGCACTAGCCGCCTCCTCCACCTCAACGACCGACGATGTCGTAGTCTTATCAGTAGCGGCAGCTGTAACGATGCTGCTGTTTGTTGGTTTGTCCTCAACGTTTGCTTCCTTTGCTACTGCTGCTACTGCTACTGTCGTCTTCCCATCATTGTTATTCTCAGCTGGCTTTTCTGCTTCCTCCTCAATAATCTCTGTCTGACTGGCAGGTAGCTGGGTGGCAGGCACCAGATCTGCATCCGTCTCAGTACTGTCTGAGATAGCTGATGGTGTCGCTGCGGCTTCCGTTGCTTCTATCGCCTCCAGGGGAGTACTCCTCTTTTCATCATCTTCGGGCGACTCGGCTTGGGCGATTAATTCATCCAGCAACTCCTTGCGCATATTGTCCGTCCCCAAATGCTCCTGGTCCTCCTCAACCTCCTCCAAATGCTCCTCGGTATCGGCAGCAATGGCAGAATTGGAATCGACTTCCGCATCTGGCATGGAAACATCTGCCTCTGTGGCATCTTCCTTGATGAATTCCTCATCCTCTTCATGCTCTCGCTTGATTTTTGTTATGGCAGCAGCAGCATCAGCAGCTGGTGTAGTTACCTCCTCGGTCGCATCCGTATCCACATCCATTTTTTCATCCTGTTTAGTTGTTGTACCTGTGGTCGGGACCTCTTCCGCACTGACTACATCCTCGGCACCACTGCCGGCTGCAGCTGGCTGGTCGGCCGCACTTCTGGTCTTTGATGTCGACTCGTCGTTGCCCTTGTGCATGGATTGTAGAGCCAAATCAATATCATCCTCTTCCTCCTCCGGCTCTTCGACAACATTGCTTTCCTCGGCCACTTGCTGGGCTTCCTCTGTTTTCTTGGGCTGCTGCTTGGCGACAATCTCTGTGCTCGCAGACTTCTCCATTTCCATAATTTCATCCTCGTTCTCGTCTTCGGTCCAATCGCCCGTCAACTCTTTTAGTTTTTCACTAATGTCATCGCGAGGTTTCTCTGGTTTCTGCAACGGAAAAATTGTACATTTAAACTCAAGATTCCTCTTGGAATTGGAGGGGAAAGCACGTACCTCTTTGCTGTTCTGTTCCTCGGATTCGGCAATTAGATTCTCGGCCCATTCCAAATTGTCAGCCGACTCTTTGCTCTCATCGGCCGCACTGGTGCCGGTCTCGCTCTTCTTGCCGCTCTCCACCGAATCGGCGGCGCCCAGTTCGCTGTAGATCTGGCTGTCATCGTATTCCTCTTCGGTGCCGGCCAAGGATTTGACATCGCCCTCTTGCTTGGCAATTTCGGCCTCGGGCTCGCTGAGCACCATTACCACACCGCCAGCGGCCGCGCCTGCTTGCTGTTGATTGAGCTGCGAGAGGATCTCCTTCCGCTGTTCGTCTGTGAGCTCCACCTCATTGCCATCGGCTCCAACGAACTTCACCTCCTGCGGCTGTTCCAGCTCCTCCTCCTCTTCCTGATGCTGCTGTTGTTCCTCAGCGCTGGCCCGCTGCGCTGCTATGGCACTGTTGGCAGGCAAACTAATGTTTGAGAGTATGCGAACCTTGCCCTCTGGCTCTTGCTCCTCCTCAGCTTCCTCATCTTCCTCGTCCTGTGAGCCTTGGTACTCCTCATCTGTCTCATCAATGATGCCATCCTCCAGGGCCTGGGCCTTGTGGTAGCCCTTCATGTGCTTGTAAAGCTGCAGCTCCTGCTCAAAGACCTTGTTGCAGTAGATGCACTGCTGCTTGTTGTCATCGGTGTGTGCCTCATTGATGTGGGCCTCGAGATCGGGCTTGGTCAAGAATGTCTGATCGCAGAGTGCGCACTCGGCGAATGTGTACAGCTGCGATTTGATTTGATGCTCGATGTACATGTGGAAATGCAATTCCCGATTGTTGCCCGATCGCCAGCCGCAATGCTCGCACAGCGACGGGTCAATTGTCTCCTTGTGCGTGTTGATGAGATGCCGTCTGAAGCCCCTGTACGATGGAATGCTAATGGGTCGTCCATTCACACCGCACCGCAGACACAGCCAGGGACCTGTTGGTAAATTCAAATGAATATTTATTAGCAAAATGCTGTGGGGTTCTGATTAACAAAACATTCTGCTTACCGGTGGTATTCTCAGCTCCCTGGGCGATCAAAGTGTGCATCGTCTTGCTGTCGATTCGACGCTTCTGAGCCGATGCCGTTGCCGCGGAGCTGGCTGTTGTCGCTGCTGCTGATGTCTGCGCTGGGGCGGTGGACTGCGCAACTGCAGATGGCTTTTGCTGTGTGGTTGTTGCCTTCTGCTGTGACGTTATCAACGGCGTGGATTTGTCCGCTTTGAAGGAAACATGCAACTTCTTGTGCGGCGATGCGGGTCCCGTTGATGTCGTTGCGGACTGAGGTGTCGCTGTTGCTGCTGTCGCACAACGCTTCACAGGTGAAGCGGCTGCCTTCTCGGCGGGACTGCTGGTTTGCGTGTTATTGGGCATAATCTTTAGCTTGATGTTCTTGTGGCCCTTGACAATATGCGGATACTGTCTCAACACTTCGGCAATGATTTTGGTGTGATTGAGCTTGGCATTCGATGAATCCTTCACAATGATCGTCGGCGTTTGGCTGGGCGAGTCCTGTTTGAGAATTATGGTCGTTGTGCCATGCTCCAGCTGAGTCTGTGTGCTCTTCTGTGGAGTTGCCGGCTGATTTTGCCTTGACGTTGATGGCTGCGGTGGCATATCGTCATCATCGTCGTCAGCATGCACATCATCATACAGCATGCCACCGTCGTATTCCGGATCATTGTCACCATATTCGGCCGCAATTTGCTTACGCATCCGCTGCTGTTCGGCAAACTCCTTGACCTCTTCTAGGCTGGGCTTCTTGGAAGGCGGCGACAGTAGACTGGTCTGTGCCGGCCGCTTGTTGTTGTTATATCCCTTGCGCAGCTGCTCAAAGGGAGAGGTGGGCTCTTGTTTGTTGCTTGTCGTCGTGCGTATCATCGTATTGCCTATGGTCGCACGCTGGATATTTGGTCTCAATGTGGCTGCGCCTCCGGTGGCTGCTCCCACAACTGTGTTGCTGACAAGGCGGCTTGGCTGGCTCTGCACAGTTACCCGCTGCTGGGGACTGCCCGCATTGGTGGCTGGACCCACTGTGCGGCGTCTTATGCCCTTCGGACTGGGAGGCTAAAATGGAGGAATACAAATTAGTCCAGGATTATGGATTAGGATGCAAGCAGCACTTACCCTCTGCTGGCGGTTCACATTCTCCATGGTGCGACGATGTGCCTCTAATAGCTTCAGCAGCACTGTCATGTTCATCTCCTTGGCGGTGCGCAGCAGCTTGCCATACATTTTCAACTCAAACTCCAGGGTGCCCGTGTACATAAAGTTGACAATGGGCACCACCACATCCGCCTGGAACTCGTTGGGCATGATGAGAGCATCGTCGACTATTTCGCAATTTTGTTCCAGTACATTGAAATAGTCGGTGCAAGCGCTCAGCACCAGGCGATGCACTTTTAATTGTGAATTGTCGCGAAACTGCAGCGTTAGGTCGCAGTAGTCCGTTTTGTTGAAGAAATTCTGCAGCTTTTGCAGGAAGAAGACTCCCCAGTTGTCCACTTTGACCGATTTCACTTCACCCATTTTGGCTGCGTTCTTCTCAACGTTGCTATCCTTGGCAAGTATTGTTTTTCTCGTTAAATGGAACGCGCGCGCCCTCCCCGTTGATTTGTTGCTCTAGCTGGCTGTTGGCGCAACTGTACTCCCGGACCAAGGGTAAGGAATTTTTATATTAGGACACGCGGCCACGTTGGTGCCAACAGTAGAATAAAAAGAAGCAACACAAAAACAATTAATAACTTGGTTAAGCTTGCAATGTTCAGATATGTGTAACTTTGAAGAGCAGCCAAGGCGGGCGTCAATTGATTTTCAACAAACATACACTTTCGGTGCTCTCTTTGGCGCTGCCGCCACGGCGTGCAATGCAACTCGGATATCGATAGATGTACGTGTGTCTATTTACGTGTGAGTGTGTGTAATGTGCGCGTCGCAAGGTATTTTTTCTTATTATTGCCGTTTCACTCAATAAATTATTGAAACCCACACGAGTTGATATACTTTGCACGTCTTCCGTTGATACTTTTATTTATTCTGATTTGGCGCCTTCTCATTTCACACAACACTGCGTTAATAAGCACAAAATTTCACTTTTTCTAATGCTATCTCATAGTATATAACAAGCTTTCAAAACAATACCTTTGTCTTTGCAATTGATTTGTTTTTGGTCATTTAAGTTCTTAATACATACATTAATTCGTATTGAACTCTTTTTTTGCCGGACAAATTCTAATTTTTTCAGAGAGAACAACCGAAGCAGGCGGCCATATTCTTTTCTTGCAGGGTTGAAAACTGCAGGTATCGATGAGTATGCGATGATTTCGTGACATCGTGGTGGTCTGATATTGAAGAGGTGACGCAAGTGCGTGGGGTATGCACAAAGAGATTACAATGAATTCAATTATGTTTGATCTGTATTTGTAAAAATATTATACAGCTCTATTATTTTAGTTGGTGTATCTTGTGTATCAGGTGAAGAATTAAATTATTCCACCATAGGTAATTGTTTTCACATGACATCACAGTAAGATCTGCGCTGCGTCACCTTACACTGAAATCAAAATAACGAAAACAAACCAGGTTGGCAGCGCTTCAGCCACGAGATGCTGAATTTTTGTTTTTAAATAATAGTTACTAACGAAACTGTAGATAATGTCTGGCCGGAACAAGGGTAGAGGGAAGCGTGGCGGCCCCTACCGCAATGTGAAATCAAATCACAACTGTGAGCGCAACTTTGCCCAGCAGGAAAATGAGTTGACCAAAAGCGATAGCGACAGTACCGATGATTCCGACTCCTCGTCGGGTGCGGGTCAGGATGATCTTGGCCACCCACCGGACTTTTCGGTTGCCATGTGGGACCTCAATCACTGTGATCCAAAGAAATGCTCTGGCAGAAAGCTGGCACGCTTGGGACTGATTTCGAATCTGCGCCTGGGACAAAAGTTTCCCGGTCTCGTTCTGTCACCTGTTGGCCAGTTGTGCGTCAGTCCACTGGATCGTGAGATTGTAGCTGCTTCCGGCGTGGCCGTGATTGACTGCTCTTGGGCTAAACTGGATGAGACACCCTTCAGTCGCATGCGTAGCCCACACCCCCGTCTTCTGCCCTTTCTTGTGGCCGCCAATCCCATCAACTACGGGAAGCCCTGCAAGCTGAGCTGCGTCGAGGCTATAGCTGCCACACTATACATATGCGGTTTCACGGAAGAGGCACGCTGGTTCATGGGCAAGTTCTCCTGGGGCCATGCCTTTCTGGAGCTAAACGACAAGCTGCTCAATGCGTATGCTGCTTGCACGGGCAGCGATGACATACTCAAGGTGCAAAACGAATACTTGGAGACGGAGCAGAAGGAGCGCAATAAGCCGAGGGACTTGCGTGACTTTTATCCCACCAGCAGCAGCAGCAGTGCCAGCGAGGATGAGGCAGCAGAAGAAGAGGGGGAAACAAACACCAAAAGCTAATCTTTACAAGGTTCTCTATGATGTTTTATTATCAAAAAACCATTACAAAACTCTGTTTTCTTTTTTTTTATTATTTTACAAACCAGTTGTGGAGAGCAATTCTCAAACTATTACAAACTATTTGGATGAAATATTCATTTACAATTCTTCCATCAAGTCAAAGAGTATCAAGCATTCTGGGGGACAACAGTTTACTGTGCATTGCGCACATACTCGGGGTCAACGTTTACAAAGTTGTTCATGCTGAAGTATAGAGCGCTGTTCTTCACTAGAAACTTGAGAAAATCCTGCAGATGCACGATGAGGTTCTGCATGGCCTGCTGATCCAGCGCCGAGTATGTCAGCATCGAGCCCAGTCGCACAAAGAGGCGCAGCAAGTGAAAGGAACCATAGAGATCAGACAATGGGGTTTCCGGATGCTTTTGCATCACATCTGCGTACTGTGTACGCTCAAATTTGTACAGCAGCTGGGAGCCCAGCATGACATTGAAGTACTCCACAATGCCCTCGAGTACATCGTTGATGGCCACCTCCTTGCTGGCACTGGTCGACTTAACGGACTTCTTGTATGCCAAATACTGTTCAGCGATCTCCTGGATCGTCACCTTAGCGGGCAGCTCCAGCAGCTTGTGCTCGCGCACCACCGCATACCAGTCGTCGGTCAGGTAATGCTTCAGCTCATCAGGTATTTTGATTTTAACTTCCAACTTGTTGGTAAAGCTCTCTTCGCTTTCGACACACGGTGCCGGCTCCGATGGCGGCGTGGGTGTAGTTGGCGTCGGAGTTGGAGCTGCTGGTGTTCCCTGCTTCTCCGCAGATGCTGTCGTATCACTGCCGCTCAACGATGGACGCTGTTCGCTGATCCTTTTCTTTTTGGGTGGCACCGCTGCGGCACCGTCTTCCTCTGTGATCTCCGCTGATGATGCATCTTCCTTCTTTTCGTTTGGAGTGCCGGGACGTGCCGACACTATTGCACTATGTGTTGACTTGCGATTGGCACGACTGGTTGAGGTATTTGCGCTAATGCTATTGGGGGTTATGCTGCTGTTGCTGCCACTATCCGATTTTGACATTGGTCCCATGCTAGAAGTGGGCGTACTGACCACCAACGGCAGAGATGTATTTCCCTCCTTGGAGGGTGTAGAAGCTCGGGAATCGTTTCCCACTTGTTCCATTTTTTTGGCCTTGGCGCTGCCTTTAGAACCAAGTAAGACAGACGTCAGCAAGAACGACGACCACAAGCGTAAGGTTTCACTTACCCTTCTTGTTGTCCTTCTTCGAGCGCTCGCCGCATAACCGCGCCTGTTCCTTTTGTCGCTGTACATTGTCATCATTGTATTTCAGCACACGGCTCTCGGGCACCCATTCGTCCCAGCTGTAAGCGGACATGGAAAGTCTTTATATATACTTTATATGGCATGGAATAACATACTTTTTGCTCCAGCCAGCATAGTGGATGTAGTATTCAACCGGCGTCGCATCAGGTTTTGTTTTGAGAACCTTGGCTTCGTAAATTAGCGGGCCGTGGAAACACAGCACGCGTTCCCCTGCAAGATGCGAATGTGTTTAATCAAATGTACGAATGGATTAAAGTTAATAGCTTACCATCAGCAAACATAGAGGCTGCATCTGCTGCAGATCCTACGATTTCCATTTTAGCGGGTTTTATTATTTTTTATTGTAAAAACAAGAAAAAACCTAGTGATGAGAGTGACAGCGGATTTATCGATCATATATACCGACTGACCGTCAAAGGTATACCCAAATAAACCAAATAATTCATAAAAAATACCGATGCAAATCATATTCCTCAAATTTAATATTCGATTAAGTTGTACTAGAAAGTCAGGACTCTCACCACTAAACATATAATTTTATTCGATTGATGAATCGATGTTGTACATTTAATTGTAATTGCTATTTTTTTATTGGATTATATAGATATGCAACGGTTTGCACAAAGGAGGTGGAAAAATGTAGCTTATTTTTTACATTGTAAGTACACAGCAACTACGCATCAACAATATATTTCCGATGGTATCGCCTCCCTTCGATTACATCCGATCGCTATCGATGATTGATGGTTACAAAACATATGTGAAAATGTGATAAGTTATCTATTTATTTATAAATATATATAACAAACAGTCTGTATTAACGTGTGCTTATGCCTACACTATGCAATAGCTAATGTTTGGCCGGCGATGACAATCCCTCCTCCTCCCATGGACGTGGACCGCGTTTGTTTTCCCATTCATCTATGTTCACGGTCTTTACTTTGTCGTACTCTGTTTCCAGCGTTACTTCTTGACGTTTCTTCATGCTCACGCCGTACTTTTTCATCTCGTCGGGTGTCACCGGTTGCTTCTTGGAGTACTGATATCTGCAATAATGTCACACCAATAAGCTGCTATTTCCTTTGAGTTTTCTGACTGCTCTTACCTTAGGTTGGAAAACTGTTGCAGTCCAAAGGAGCCGGCTACCATCATGATGAGGAAAGGCACGCCGTATTTAAACGATTTTCGTTTACTATAGTGTTTTAGTTTATCACTGAACGACATTATTTTGTTATGTTATTTTGTGTGACCGCGGAATTATCGATAAGATATACCGAAAGACCCTCGGAAATATACCGAAATATACCCTTTCATTTTCGAAATATACTGTAAATAAAAGTAAATCTTAAATCATTTTCCTCGACTTGATGTTCTATTTAACATTACTAGCTACTTAAGATTCTCAGCGCTAAAACTATAAATTGTTCCAATTTATCCATCAATTTTCCTCAGGATCAGCTGGTTTTCATGACTTCCCCTGGCTGTAATGTTTTCAAATTTAGTTTAAAACTAAAAAGGTCAAGCAACAAAAATAGCATAAAACTTTACGTTTCTAGTCATGGAATATACGTAATTTCTTGATTGTCGACAATGAGCCTTGTGTTCTTTATTTTGAATAATAAATATTAAAATACGTCAGCACTAGGGCTGGCTTGTGCGATATATCGGCTAAAGCAGGGACGTCCACATGTAACGGAATTACAAATTTGGCAATTATTTCAAAATTAAAATAGAAATCAATCAGCAATGTAGGATGTTCTCTTGTGTCAGCCCTTTCTTATTAATAGCATAGGTTCATTTGCACAAAGCATTCTTTCAATTAGCTGCAAACATCTGCAGCTGCTACCGTCGCTTAAAATTAGATGCCCTTGAAGTGGATGCGAATCAAAAGTAGCGTACGCCTTCCTTGCCAAATTGCCAGCAATTTCTATAGAATTTCTATTGTTTTCCGGCGCACGCCTAATGCGCGCTGTTCATGCACTTACATTTACATATGTATGGCCAACCAGGCTATAAGTTCAAGGTCTGGTGTCTCTTTAGTTCTCAAATAATTGACACTGACAATGTCGAAGAGCGCCAAAATGTTGTGTGTTGTTCACAGCGTACACGACATTTGATATGGCGAGCCAAACGGTCCGCTGGTTCACCTTGGCCGAGTCGGTGCCGGTCCCGGTCCCCGCCCGGGCAGTGGGGGGCAGGCAAGGCAAGTGGCTTTGGGCAAAGATTTCCTTTTTGTAGCCACAGCCATAGCGCTCAACCAGTTCATTCACAAGGAGCCGACCCGACGTGTGACACGGCGCCAATTGAGTCATCACATGGTGCCCCGCTTGAGACTGGGTTGGTCTCAGATCACACAGCGTTCAAGTCGCTAGAAGATTGTAATTCATCCATCCCGCAGCCAACAATCTGACTAAACAATCTTCTCATGGCTTCAACACAGTCGTCTTTCCACTTTTCCAGGCAATTTTCACCAAATATGGTTGTGATTTTTCTAACAAGATTGTCTGTGCACTTGTCTCTGAGCTGAGCTCTCGTAGATATATTTTTATTTGGTATACATTTTTTTGGAATTATGAAAACTTTTGTTTTCCATAACACAGCCTCAGCTCCCGCTAACCCCCCACCAAGCATCAGGTGGCCATGATTTCGTTTTTTCTTATTTAGCAAAGTTGCTCACACATTTTCGCTTGTTGTCGTTGTAGTCTCAAGGGTCTTTCTCATAGAATATCTACAAGTATATCCCCGAATGTATTTAGGTTCGTAAATATATGTAAGACATTTTTGTTTTGAATGAAAACAGTTACGTCATTCTGTGGGTGTTGCTGGATTTAATTATAAACTTTTCAACAGTCTCAGTGCGAGCAACACAAAAAAAAACAGCAGCATAATTTTCTCCAAGAGAAATTCAAAGAATAAATAAATATGCTGCCATCTAATTGGGTGTTATTTATAGAGGGTTTTGCTTGCAATTAAGCAGATTTATATAATAAGTTTGGAAAACAAAATTTTAAAGTTTATTTAACATCATTTTAATTATTTGTGCGTAATATTCTTTATTTCTTTAAGCGAAATATCATGATTATCGGTTGAAATAATAGAAAGCTTTTTTTCCTATATGCAAAAAACAATGTATTTCTTTAAACTCCCAGGAATACTTTATGGTATAAAGTTGATACTCTTCATACTTAAAGTTTCCATGAATATGTCAAATAAAATTAACTATCACAAAATAGACAAAAACATGAACTGCACTAGCTAATTTTTGAAGGGATACATAAACTTTGATTTAAATGAAACTTCTTCGAATCTAGAGAACAACATTTCTTTGTATATTTAATCAAATTTGAACTAGGATTAATCCTACATTACAATCAATGTTTATAGACAGGGCAACGATGACTCCTGGTTGAAATGTGCTGATTAAAACGGCATTACTTTTAAAGAATTACTAACTCGTGTTTACTTAATTGCAATTAATTGGCAATCTATTGTTCGAACTTGCAAACATATGTATGTATGAACCGAATATTATTCAAAATTGAACAGTTTTACATATTCTGGAACAGCTTTTATCTGTGAAAATCAATTGCTCAATGGTTTATTCTCTTTGTTAAGAAAGCAGAATAAATTGTCTTTAAAAATAAGACAATCAAAATCGTGATCAATGCTTAAAATTGCAATCTACAAAGAGAAGCAAGCGAGTATGCATATAAATATGTATGCTAGTGATCTTCAGAGATCAGGAGGAAATTAAATTTGTGCAATTTCCACGTTCCACTTGATACATGAATCATATTTTGGAGGGGTTTCTTCTGGGAGAGTTACAAACAAACAAGCTTGAAATATGGGAAGGTACAATCGTACTTTGACATTAATGAATGTGCCAGCAAAATGTTTCCCGTTCGTAGACATGACGTTGAAAAATCTATACGAAAAAGCATTCAAATTATATGGCACAAAAAAATAATAATAATCCGTAGACCTATGGGGTGTGTAGTCTCTATAGCTAGGTGAAACAAGATTTTTTTGGCATATCAATAACTGAAAGATATAAATAGCATTGAGAAAAACCAAAAAGCAAAACAAAAAGATCCGCGCACACACATTAAAGCACTTTCTCAGACACACACACACAAACACAGCTCATGTGTTCGCTCAAATATTTTGCATTTAACCAAAAATACTGGGCGAACTGAGAGCTTTTTGGAAAATATGGGGAAATATTCAAAATAGTCAGAAGAATATACGGCTGCACACACATACACAAACACATGAACATGCACAGATAGACGATGAACAGGTGAAAGAAAGCACGGCATAAAGGATGGAGAGAGCAAGAGAGAGAGAGAGAGAGAGGAATGAGAGTTTAACAGTAAAAGCGCAGGCGCCGCCTATACTTATGTAGTACGTGTGCTGCTCTTTCTCTCGATCTCGTATGAGAACATACGATTTTGCGCTGTTTGCCTTTCGGCTGCACCAAGCGAAAAGAACTGCAACTACTTCAAAAATATCTACGCAAATCATTTGGGCAAGGCTATACCCGTTCATAGAGTTCTAATTAATTTCTAAAATTTTATAATAACTATTTAAATATGAAAAGGGAATGCTCCAATGAAGTATATATTTTGACTAGTTCATGCCAAGGAAGTCCAAAACTCTTTTCTCTTCAAGAAAGTTCTACCAAACTTTTGTATATACTCTCTGCAATCCCTTTCGCCCATTTTCCCACAGTGTACAAGCCTTACCAACACCCTCTGCCATGCCATACCATGCCCTGCCATGTGCCGTGTGCTCTCTTTGTGGGTGATCAAACGAGAGCAGAAATGCAGTTCCAAAATAAGCGAAAGAGCAGCCAAAGCCAAACAGCAACAACAGTAACAACAAGAGCGAGCATCGCGCACATTTATTTGGCCGAAAAGCATTCTCTCTCTCTCTCGCGGTGGCTCACACGTACACACACCAGCGCAGAACGGTGGCAGATCGACCAAACGGCGGGCATCGAACGTCAACATATTGAATAAATATTTTCAGTTGAACATCACAATCCGTTCAAGTCGCGGATAACTCCGAATAAAAGTTTTGTAAGTAAAAAACAGGAAGGCCCCAACAGAAAAAAACCTTCAATAAAATATCCAAAAAATATAATAAAAAGTATTAAGAAAATCGTATAGCGTGCAACCAAAAAATAGCGTTTAAAAACTGTGTTGGAACTGCGAAAAGAAAAGGATCAAAATCAACTTTAAACAATTATATAATCGAAATACGTTCGTTGGCTGCAAACTAATTTTAAATCAAATCAAAGTGCTGTGAAAAATCTTTAGCAAACCAAAAAAGCAAAAAACCGCAAGTATTTAAGCATAACAGAGGACACAGCACAGAAAGAACTAAAAAA